CTCTCTCTTTTTTTGGAGGGTCTTGAAACTGTGAGGGTGACCCTCTGCTACGGGACCTTGTATCATTTCACTTACATTCTCCGAAAAAGGCTGGTCCACCAGCCGAAACTGTTAGGATTAAATAAATATTTTATTGTTTTGTTTCCTATACTGCGCTATTCTCGAAGTTTATATCTTTTATTACGGTTGCCGGAAGAAACTATGATCATCTATTTCATCATATATATATATATATATATATATATATATATATATATATATATATATATATATATATATATATATATATATATATATATATATATATATATATATATATATATATATATATATTTACATTTATATATTATAACTCACCAACCAGTTTGTTATATTCCGCAGATATATTAAGCGTAGAACATTTTTTTTCAAACCCTGCCTACACCTAAATAGTATTTTACAATCCGCAATGCACTCTTGCGCTCTTCTTCGGAACATTACATGTCTTTATAAAAGGCAGGTTCGTAGAATTTTTCGATGCCAGACACAGATCTACGTGCACACGTCGACAAAACGCTGATTGCTTGTATAGTGATTCAGGTATTAATGAGCAGGTAGACTTGCGAATTTTCTAGCGTGCACGCGGTCGGCTGCTGGCCAGCACCAGAAGTCGAACTGCTCCGCACGTTAATCATGTCACTCGGCGTTTCTTTCCTGGCGGCTTGCCGCTGCTTCGTGTTCTAGCTGCCAAACCAGAACACGTGCGGACTTCACCTGCAGCGGCTCGCGTAACTTCAAGGCAATTGGCCGAAGGACCAGCTTCAAAAAAATAAAATAAAAACAAGAACGCAAGCATTGGTGGACATACGTTTACGACCTTCCTCGCCACCTACTCACTTCTCGCATTGCGTATATGGGGTTAGCCGCTTTTAGGAAGACCATGAATTTCACGGAAAGCGTTCTCGCTAAACTGCACATGCTCGCTTTTTTTCTTCTCTGCCCTATGCAGTATTAATGGAAAATGAATTTGTATAACTGATTCTCGTTGACTAGGTGAATATTCTACGAGGTTTTCGAAAGGGTGCAGGTTGGCCGTGCGAAGCACTGAAGGGTGCGTAGGGTGATGATGGTGATGTATGTATTCTTTTTTTCGAGTGCCAAAGACATGAAATAACACACTCCTTCGAAAAAGCGGAGCCGCAGGGAGCCATCTGCCCTGAAATGTATTTGGGCGGCGCAAGACGACGAATTTTAGGAACAGCAAGGCTCGTGAAACGTATCAATGTTTCTAGTAGCATCCGAGATTTAAAATAAATTTGTTCTTTTTGGGATAAACCATAATAATAGCAACGAGTATAGCGTATATAAACACAAAAATTTCAGCTTTAAAACCTGTCTATCAATGCTTGAGACCAAGATTATAGAAACCATAATAGGCTGAACGTAAGCATCTTGTCGAGATGTATATATTTCTGACGGGGCTTCTTCGTAAGAGAAGTTCACTAGATGTACTCACAAATCTTTGCGCCTGCGAGCCAAGTCATATGCTTATCTCCTGTGAGATGAATCATCACTATCATCATCATCATCAGCCTGACTACGTACACTGCAGGACAAGGGCCTCTCCTGCCAGTCAACTCAGTTTTGTGCTTGACGCTGCCACTTTATGCCCGCATACTTCTTAGTCTCATCTGCTCATCCAACTTTCTGTCTTCCCCTAAGCCGCTTGCTTTCTTTGGGAATCCAATCAGTTACCCTTGATAAACAGCGGTTATCCTAGCTGCGCGCTAGATTCCTGGCCCGTGCCCATTTCCTCTTCTTGATTTCAATTATGATATTGCCGTGGATGGTGCAGGCGCCGCCGAGGCCGGTGGAGAGGGGGCCGTGGGATCAGTCTCGTGTTCCATCGCGGAAACTCCGATTTGACGACCACTGTGGAGCTCCGTTGTATGGCGCTTCGTTGCCCAGCACATCCATCAATTTGTTACGGGGATTACAAATACACGGAAGAGAGAAAAGAGTGTATTTGCAATATTTACAGATAGGTGTGACACCTCAGGGTTGCTAGGATCTCGCACGCCGAATCCGCTTCTTCTTCATCGATGCGTCCACGATGGCGGAGCCATGCCCACTGCCTCGTAACAATATCATTAACCCCGGTTTGTTCTCTGATCCTATCTGCTCTCGTCTTGTATCTTAAGGTTTCACCTACTATTTTTCTTTTCGGTGCTCGCTGCGTCGTCCTGATTTAAGCTGAACCCTCTTTGTTAGCCCCCAGGTGTCTGCTCCGTAGGTAAGTGCCAGCAAGATGCAGCTATTATATACGTTCCTCTTGATGGATAGTGGCAATCTACCAGTCATTATTTGAGAGTGCTTGCCAAATGTGCTCCACCCCATTCTTATTCTTCTAGTTACTTTGATCTCGTGGTTCGTCTCCACAGTTATGACTGTCTTAAGTAGACGTAGTCCTTTACATCTTCAAGCTCATTATTACTTTCTAGAAGCAAAGCGTGATGTTAAAGGCGCATAAATACGCTCAAGATGCTATACAAAAGAAAAAAAAAGCAGGAAGTGATGCAAACGTTTCGTTTTAAATGCTCACAAAGTATCTGGTTGTGCGTGAGCGCCGTCTCTTATGGCATGCCGTACCGCAAATACGCGACTCACGAACACGGAAACGAGTTACTCGTAGCGCTGACACATTCGAGGAATCATTTATGCTGTACTCTTGACTACAAAGGAAGAAAAAAATAAATACGCAAGTTGGGGGAGGGGCATCCAAACAGAGCTAGTGACCGTGTGAATATAGGGTGAGATTTGCGCGAGAGTTTGTCTTCTTACCAAAACATTGTAGAAGAAGAAAAAAGCAGGAACGTACAGTGTGTATCGCGTGAAAATACAAACAAGTTGCCCCTACCCGCTTTGCTCCAGAATGCAACCAGGATAATTAAGGCGTCGTCGTCATTGTTGTTTGAACTTTGCGGATGGAATGTCAAGAGACGCTCGGAGCGGGGGCTGGCATTGTATGAAAAGAGCGAGAGGCCGCGTGATCGGATGCGTGTACAACACCCTTCACTGACCTACAAACCTGCCTCTCAATGTTCTTCGTGCACGCCGCGGCAGCCTTCGCGCGTTCGTGCATGAGTAATTTGCATTCACGGCGGTTACGTCGTTATTCAGTGACACGCTCGGCACGAAGTTGGTCTGTGTAAACTTCCCTAGCATTCGCTAGCCTGACTGAATCGCATACTTCTCTTTCCGTGGCTAGCCATATAGGCGTCCCCTAGTCAACACTTCCTGGGTGAAATGCGTGGTCACTGAGCCGTGACCTCACTCTAGAAGGTCGAATGGTCGCACGTTCTAAGTCTGGAGAAAGCAGGGTTGTTATCTGCAGCTTCTACATGTATAGCGCAGTAATCGTGAGATAAACAGAGTTACCAAAAGTGGACAAAAAAAGCAAAGAAACTGTGACTTTGTGGGAGTTCTTGTATAGAGACAGTAAGGCATCGCTGACGTCATGTAACGCTGTAGGCAATGAATGGCGTTACCTGCCATGTTCACTCAGACTTAGTCATCCATGGCGAGGCTTAAGGCCTGGAACACTGGACACCGACAAGAAGACAGGAGACTCTGCTCTGTGTCCAGTTGTCCACACGCTAAGCCTCGCTATGAATCTACGTAAGCTAGCCTCGGCAGATATCTTCAGTTTAGTTGGCCATTCTCATAAATACAATTACCATTCCGCATCTTCTATAGAGTTCTGTACTATGTTAACCGTTTTCAACAAACGCCATATAAGACGTCGTCCAAGCTGGACAATGTCTTATCAACAGCCAACGTCCTATGCGCTGATTTAATGAGAGAGGATGGCAGATAGGTTGTCCAGACAAAAATATCTGGTTCACCACTCTGCAATGGTAAACATTGTGGAGATCTCAAGGCATTCGTCTGATGGACATGAAAGAGTGCACTTACGCATCGGGTAGTCCTGGATACTGGCGAAGCAGCCATCCATCTTCACCATGTCCACCTCCCAATCGGCGAAAGTCTGGGCGTCCGTGTACAGGTTACCTAAGCTGCCGGCGTAGCCTGCGCAAGTCTTGGTTCCTACGTTGCCGTAGATTCCCAGCTTCAGGCCGCGAGCGTGCATCTGAGAACCAGTTACAAATAACAAAAACAGTAGACAACCAGGTTAGAGCGAACTTCGTATGGCACAGAGAACCCTATTGGAAAAATTGCCATGGTGGATACTGGAAAACATGGTGGGCGTAGTGGAAATAATAGTGGGCATGGTGGAAATAATAGTGGGCATGGTGGAAATTATGATGGCTATGGTGGGACGTAGTGGAAAATATGGTGGTTATGCCGGGACATACTGGGTGGTATGGTGTACAGATGATGGGTAAAGTGGAAATGATGGTGGAAAGCAGAGGCTAGATAGTGGGTAATAATGGGACACTCTGCCCCCCATAGCGATAAGGCTGGGAAGCCCTAAGCATATGGTGGGTGGTGCTTATTATGGTGGGCTACAGGGTGTACCAAGCTGAGAAACTCTTCCCACCATTGCGATAATGCTGGGAAGCACTAAGCAGATGATGGGTGCTGCTTGTTATGGTGGGCCACATGGTGTACCAAGCTGAAAAGCTCTGCCCACTATCGCGATAATGCTGGGAAGCAGTAAGCAGATGATGGGTGGGCTTATAATGGCGGGCAAATTATATAGTGTACCAAGCTGGGATCTGTACACTACATGTTCAACCATCATGATTTCCACCAAAGGTTAGGCCTACTGACCGAGCCCGTACAATTGTGTTATCCGTGCTTCCGGGTTTCAGAATACACGATTACGACGATTAAGTATGACAATACAGCGCAGCCATATGGCATCAATTAACCTAAATGAAGCATTTTTCATTGTGTACGGTGTTCGCTCAAGAAGCAACAAACATCGATGTGACGCGATTAAAGCACTCCCAGAGAACGTAATTAAGTGTCTTCTCACCGACAGCCGCCGGTCGCACTCGCCGGCACTTCTCTAGCTTTTGTACGAGAACTCAGACGTGGCAATTCGTGTTCTTGGTGAACCATTATGATAGCGTAATGTTTCCGGTACACTGCATTCGTTTTGGCCAAGCCGTTATGTAGTTGTTGCTTTAGCGAAAGAGCTACAGCATTGCGCTGGCGTGACCGCCCTCTACATTGCGCGAAAAGCATCCCAATACTCAATCAAATAAATTAGGCGGGCGTATCTATGAAATGAGCCTAGAAGCGTCATAAAGCGTGAGCAGATGTCGCCCTTTAGAACGAGCGCGAAACGGATATTAAACTTGGCAGACCCCGCCGGTAAACTCTTGCTGCTCCCCAGTCCACTTGGTTTTTTTTTTCCTTGAAGTTGTGAATTGTAAAAAAAAAATAGCACTAGTGCCAATAACATAGTGACAATCGTTACAGGCCGCAGTTGCTTGTGTTTAATAAATGTGCAATTTTTAGTAGCAGGTGTAGATCTTGTCTATGTTGTGTACACGACAAACATAACTTAAGTTGAAACTTAAGTTTGTATGCCAACTAAATATTTAACACGCAGGCACCGTCATGTTGGTGTGGCGCAGTGGTTAGCGTCTTCGAATGGGAATACGCAGGTTGCACGTTCGATCTTCCGTGGCGCTTTGTTTTTTTTTTTTACGGGACGGGTGTTTTTTTATGCCGTTTTTATAGAATTCTTTTTTATTTTTTGTGGCAGCTCGTCACGGTGATTCTGACGTCATTTCGCGCTCAAGTGTTGCCGGCACTGCAGCACCCACCAAACCCACCATGCGCCATGGTGGGTGTTTCCCACCATTCACCCACTACATTAATCCACTATAATGGTGGGTGGTGGTTTCCACCATGCCCACCATTCGTTTTTTTCCGATAGGGAATAGTTGACGCAACAAAGACACCATACACGTTTTCGAAAACTTATTGCGGGAGTCCACGCCAGGGCAGTAAAAAGTGGTTACAGCATAGCAGTTGCGCTCACTACGGTATTAATGTGAATCCCTGGGGGTTCTTCCTCAACAGGCCTGTGGGAGCATTTTCTACGACCTCTGCATGGAATTCAAACTTAAGTTGTAACTTGTGGTCCTTGGATGGTGTACGGCCACAAGCAGATATAAAAAAAGATTGCCTCCTGAATGATATAGAATGTTGAGTGAAACCTTCCTTAGCTCATTCTTCTACTTTTCCGCAAATTGTGTTGAAGTTTGATGTGTGTTAGTTGTAACAGCAAATACAATCAGCCTTATCAATCAGCAATGTCAGAACGAGTTGCTTTGGTGGCACTACTTCTTGCAAGCTGGCTCCATACATTACGACTGCGCATGCATGATTCCTACTCGCTCTTCCCTACTACCTGTTGCGGGGCCACACCTTTCAGTAAATCAATTTCTCTCTATACGCTTTCTGTCGGTTTCATATTACTTTGTGCTGTAATGTAGTGTGGTTAGTGATGATCTATCCATATCTCTGTCTTTGGTCTGATAGTTCTTGCAAAATTTAAGATACCCATCCAGAGCGTAAACCAGATCATTATGGAATCGACACCCGTGGGAATGTTTTGTAAGCGTTCTGTCACAGAACGTAAAAAGGGATGGAACAAGAGGGTAAGAGGGAGCTGCACGGGATCGGTCGAGGCTCATCTACGATTAAGATGTGGAAATAAACACAGAACAGGCACAAAACGGACGGAGGCCCCGTTGTGTTGGTAGAACAGATACAATACGGTCTCCGGATTACTGTGACTGCATCGAAACGTAAGAGTTTAGGCCCGAAGAATCGAATTAACGTGCTTTGTGTCTGGAACACGTTAATTCTGCGATGATACTTTGCGAAGATCTCAATCGAACGACTCGTCAAATTGCGGCACCCCCCCGCGTCCACTCAAGATGATAACACCAATAAATTGGCAAAGTCATTGCGCACTTCAATTCGTAACTTTAAAGAATAGCACCTGCCAATGCTGATGTTTAGCTATAAAAATTCTGTATTTCTTCATTCACTGAAAACATTGCGGAATTCCCTCAGCTCACTTATTGGCTGTTCATCCCTCCCATCATCTCCCGTTCCGTCCCTCCTCCGTTAGGTGACAAAATGCTTGCAAAATACCCTTCTCGAACCCCAGCTGAACCCCGTGCCTACATTTTCTGTGCTCTGTAACAAATTCACTCGCACTTGTATTTCAACATGTGATGCCGAAGTATGACTTCCGTTTCGACCAAACGTTTAAACGCAGTGTCTCTAAGAAGAAAGGTTTTTAGGTCATCTATATCTTAGTTGGAATAAAAACTGTTGGCATATGAAAAGCATCCAACTCTGCAATTCAACGAAGTAAAAGAACACTGGGACGTGTCTGTGACGGTGAACGAGGTTCCAGCAGGCCTTGGAATGACGGAGCTCTTTATTAACACGAAAACACTCAATGGCTCTAACTCGCGTCCCTCCATCCGTCCGTGGCCTTGAATGGTGCCAGTTGTAGCCTCTCCCTCTTACACTCTCTCAGCAATCCCGTGAAGACTCAAAGAATAAAATAATAAAACAAAAAACAAAACAAAAGAAGGTAACAAAAAACTAAAATCATGTGGCACGGTCCGTCGAACAGCCACAGGCTTTAGTCGCACGCACTTAGAAATTTAGGAAGTCTTTCTCAATTTTTTCAGGGGAACTTGTGCTCGGGAAATGAAATGTGAACGTGCAAGTGATTCCAGCTGTACACTTTTAGTAGCGAGAAAAGCGTCGGCCATCGATTATTATGCCAAGCGGTAAAGTGCGCCGATATTGGTACACGTCACATGGAAGACTCCAGTGCTATCACTGGTGGCCGTGTAAGTTTCGGAATGATTTCCAATCTTTACCTTGTTCGATCAATTTTATCGGAAGGTTCTAAAGTAAACACGAAAGTTTCTAGTCATTCGGGCGTGGTTTGCGCCAGGCAGAAGCCGTACTTGTAATCGGCTGGTTACATACGAAATAGAAAAGAACATGCGAGGTGATATAATGATGCCAAGAAGCAGATTTAGTAACGTATTGGAAGTTGATAATGATGATGTGCTATGCAGGGTGTCCCACATAACTTGAGCCAAGAATTTAGAGTGAAAGACACTTAGGAGGACAAATTGAATCAAACGCATACTACTCGAACTAGCCTGTAGTTACTCAGGCTATTTTTTATTTCTCCCCATAAAATAAATTATAATTCTTAATTATCATTTTTTAAAATATGGGCTGGAAACCGAAAATAATAACACTGATATGTAGAGCACTTTTAGAAACCACCGACTAAATTGTTTCCTGTACGATACGTTAGCGCTGTTACTTTTTCAGCGTTGTAGAGAAAGCCTACAAGCAACATTACAGCAGTGTGCTCGTGGTCCGTCACACGGCTTCTTTTCACACTTTTCGGGCTTAATTAGGTGAAAATTGGGTATATAAAATTAATAACTAATTAGTATGGGGAGAAATAAAAAAATTGTATGAATAACTACAGGCTAGTGCGAGTAGTATGCGTTTGGTTCGATTCGCCTCCAAAGTGCCTTTCACTCTCAAATTCTTGGCTGAAGTTATGTAGGACACCCTGAATATTGCTTCAGAATATATCACTGAAAACCCTTGTATGCGTTCGTTCAAGTTCACATGAGCCACTCAGTTCGTAAAACCGAATTTCTTGTTTTTTTATATCACCTGGCATCGATTACTGGACCACAGTATCTCTTTCCGGTGCAGAGTCATGAATTCGTAGATCTCGTGCATTTGTATTGTAATATTTATCGACGTGTGGCAATAATTTTAATTTTGCGGTCCACAATTATAGTACCTCGTTTTTTTTTATTTAAGTGTGTGTGTTCTGTGTGTTGTTAATCTGTCTCTCAATCACTCGCACTGTGTGTTTTTTTTTTCTTTTATGTCGCTTCTTAGATGATTCGCAGTACATAGTAGCAAAGTGGATATCTATATTCCGGTCATTTTCTCCGCATTTCGCATTTCATACATCTCTATTTCCGACAATTATTGAACGTTAATTTTCTTTTTTCGAATGTAGGAAGTTTCATGTGACTCCGCCCTAATGCTGTTTCAAAAAATAAAACATTTGAGGTTTTTTTTTAGATGCGACTGAATAGGAAACATTGGAGTTGTCCTCGAACTAAGGCTTTCACACAAGGCGAAGCTTAAGCTCGCTCCGGCTCACAGCCCAAATATCCAAGTAACCAACCACTGCAAAAAACACATGGTTATACGAGCAAACAAATCCACGTAAAATACATTCCAAATAAGAAACGCAGTTTATTCTATCACACGTACCGTTTCACGTAATAGCAATATACAGTATCAGCGGCAGTTCGCCAGGTCATTGCAACCACACAAAACTCGTACGTCCCGTACCAGTAAAAACACCTAAACTTGTAAATTGTATCGAACACGTGGCATTGCTTAAATTATGTGATATTCTAATAAGCTGCGCATCTCTACAGCTGTTTTGCTCTTCATGTCTCCTCGGTTTCACGTAATTACAGGTGTTCGTATGTCACAGTTCTGATAAAACGAGAGAGATAGTAAAAAAAAAAAAGAATGAAAAGAAGGGAAGTTAACCACGAGTGGGCCTGTTTGGTTTCCCTGCAAATAGAAAGGGTAAAGCTGAGGGAAACCTTGAGAGAGAAACTTGAGGGAAACCTCCACTGCCAGTGTGGCCGACGAAGTAACAGTTCTCGGTCTGACTGTCGCTTGGACCGCTTAACCTTCAGGAACAGCAGGTCCACTTCCGTTGTCTTCTCATCTGCAACTCGCGAGACTATGATCCCAAAATCACGGTCAAGAAAGATTATTATTATTTATTTATTTATTTATTTATTTATTTATTTATTTATTTATTTATTTACTTATTTATTTATTAGCTGAGTTAAACCTGCGCGGTTTCCAGGTCTTCAATTTTGAAATGACCGACAGTATCTGACGATGTGTCTAATAGTCCCTTCGACCCCACAGTCATTGCACTCAGCCCTGTCAGCCATTACAAAAACGAACATTCGTTGATTAATGCAACATTAGTGCGTATATAGATGAAGCTAAAAGTCTTAGTTGCAAAGACAGGTCAAGAGAACGCAGAAGCAGTCCCTGAGAGAGGCAAATGAATAGCAGAATTTAATAATATTCCTGGAGATGTTAACCTAACTTATTGCTTGGTTTTCTCGGGTGACGGCTATGATGTACACAATGATCACAAACACACAAAAAAGATACAGTCGCAAACACGTATACTCACAAAAAAGCCATTAAGAAAGTAGCTCTTCAAAACACCAACAGCTTTTTTTTTCTTTTTTGCTTTGAGCATCGCACAAACACTGAATAGCAGTATTCAATAATATTCCTGGAGATGTTAACCTAATTTATTGCTTCGTTTTCTCGGGTGATGGCTATGATGTACACAATGATCACAAACACACAAAAAAGATACAGTCGCAAACACGTATACTCACAAAAAAGCCATTAAGAAAGTAGCTCCCCATAACACCAAGAGCTTTTTTTTTTCTTTTTTGCTTTGCGCATCGCACAAGCACTGCTTTGCTATACGGGCCGCATTTACGCAGGACGTATTTTAAATCTTCCCCCGTGTATCTTAGCTGCGTCAACCAAGGGTAATACCATTAAAATAAGGTTTTGTCGAAAAGTTTGATGCGAAGGTACTCACGAAATCTGCAAGGTGTTTGATGCCGTTGGGGAATCGGGTGACGTTAGCTTGCAGCCTACCGACTACGTCACGTTCCTTATCCATCCAGCAGTCGTCAATGTTCACGTACTCGTAGCCGACGTCCCGATATCCCTCATACACGAGGGCTTCGGCCATCTCCTTGAACAGCCGTTCACTGCACACACCGATTGATTGATTAATTGATTGACTGATTGATTGATTGACTGATTGATTGATTGATTGATTGATATGTGGGGTTTAACGTCCCAAAACCAACATATGATTATGAGAGACGCCGTAGTGGAGGGCTCCTGAAATTTCGACCACCTGAGGTTTCTTAACATTCACCCAAATCTGAGCACACGGGCCTACAACATTTCCGCCTCCATCAGAAATGCAGCCGCCGCAGCCGGGATTTGGTTCCGCGACCTGCGGGTCAGCAGCAGAGTACCTTAGCGACTAGACCACCGCGGCGGGGCGTTCATTGCATACCCTGAAGACATCGTGTGGCAGTACGTTTCGTTCACATGCAGCATACAAACTTACAGAACAGAGAAAATAACAGTTCCGGAGTTATGCAATGTAAAGCATGTTTGCTTAATGCAAAATATGAGCCTTAGTTGAGCAGCAAGAAGAAACCGTGCGTTGCGAAAAAAAAAAAAAAACATGTCCGCAGGTCTACAGCTTCAAGCGCAACACCCGAAAGAACAAAGAAAGAGTAATCTATTTTAGTGATGGGCATTTACTGTATGCCATTGGACCCGGAAGCAATTTGTGCTCGATCGACCTAGTTTAGCCAACCGCAAAACGCGAGGCAAGCTTCTTGCTCTTCTTTTTCATCGAACAGGGCAAAATGGCACCCGAGTTATGTGCAGCTCACAAAACACTGTCCCTTCTTTTGAAAAACAAAAGAAAAGTGGTGCCGTCAACGGAGGCTGAATGGGTTTAAAGTAGTGGCTTTTTTTTTAAGTATCAGCTGGTCAGCTCGCGTCACACTGTAGAAAGATACGCTTTTGGCTACCATTTACGGCACAAAGCAACAGGCGTATTTTGGTGCGCTTGTTGAACTGATTTATCCAACGTCCACCTTGCACCTCGCGATAATTATAAGAGGTGTTATCAGCTGCCGGTATTCGTACTCTGATTGCATAGTTAGGTTTCGACCACAATCAACGTTATGTTTGTCGCGCGATGTCTAAATGACGAATTGTTGCCGCAAATAGGTCGGAGATACATTGTGATGCGGTTGTGCTATACTGCGTCCTAATTATTTTGTAATAGGCGGGCTTTAATGTCCCGATTCCGCAATAGAATTGTGGTATATGATATATTTTTAAACAAATTATTTTGTGTATGCCGTAGTGGAGGTCTTCGAAAGCTCTACAGCCTGCAATTCTTAAGAGTGCACTTAAATTTAGGCACATGGCTCTAGCGTGTCGCCTCCATTGAAATGCGGCCACCACCCCCTGGATTCGCTCCCGTGACCTTGGGATGGGTATTCAACCCTACAGCACAGTGGTGTGTTGCGTAAAGCGTTGAAGTGGTGGGAACGAAAGTGGCTGGGCGTTCGCTTCTCCAAAAAAAGGGGGGGGGAGGGGAGGGAAGCGGCATGGAAGTGAGTCGTTAGATACGAGCAAAGGCACCGACCTGATGCAGTTCTCCGGTTCCCGGCTGCAGTCGATGTTGCACTGGAAACGCTCCCACGCCAGCCATCCCATGGGCGGCGTCCTGGCAAGGCCATTGTCCAAGCAGAGGACAGGCTGCGCCCCGAGGAGCAGAAGAAAGGCGAAACGTAGCATCCGAATCGGCCAGCTCGGGGTACGAGTCGCGGTCGCGCTGGTGCCAGCAGCAGCAGTTGCGGTCTGTCGTCCTCCCATCCTCCGAACGTGGTGGGCGCGAGAAGGAGGGTGGGTATTTCTGCGCGACGGCAAAGCAGCTTATACACTCCTTGGACTCGAAGTCTTCAACGTGTGCCAGCCAAGAAGCCGAACACCTGCCGGCGGGCAAGGAAGACATGGAAAGTCTCTCGCTTAAGGGAGAGGAAAAGTGTGGAATGAATAAGCGTGGAGAGAAAGTGCTGGCTGCTTACACCTGCACGCGCCGCAATGTCGTGGAAGGTTGTGGAGAGACTTGGAAGCCTCTTAGCGGGGCGAATACCGGTAACCGTTACGCCACCGGAGGGTCTTACGCGCTTAAGGACGCCGGAGCCGCCGCTCGAGAGGAAGAAAATAAAGACGGAAAGAGGGGTTGCGGAGAGGGTCCGCCAACTGAGCACGCGGGAGACCAGCGGGCGAGCGTAACAATTTTTTGCCCGACCGGCATCCGTCAGTGCAGCGTAGCGCCGGTACGAAAAAGATTGGCGGTTGCGAGGAGCCTGTATACCTATAGCGGCGACCGTCGGGCGCAATACGTAAGAAGCTGCGTCTTGACACTGGGGCGGGCCGGGCTCCGCCCGGTCCCCGCTTTTACGGAAGCCGGCAGTATCAGACCTTGACGAGCGGGCGGCTTGCGCAACTGGACGAGGAAGGAACGACGGTGAAAAGTATGGCGTACCAGAGAAGATAGTTTATAAAAAGATTTCCGCAGAAGCCACAGAATCCGAATTAAAAGAAAAATGGCCACCTTTCTTTAACGTTGACGTTAGTGGTACTTTGCTTTTGTTTTATTATTTCTCGCGTTTTTTCTCTGTTTCCTTTATCGGCTAAAGTAACGTTCTCATTCGACCTCCTCTTACGAGAGGCACGTTTTTTTTTTTTTTACTTACGCATTTACACTGGCCAAACGACGTGTGTGATCGTATTTATTTTTGAGGATGAGCCTGTGGTGTCCGTAATGATTCTCGCCCGGCAGGGAGCATGAGTATATCAAAATTTGACACACCTACCGTCACACTTTCCGGCTGACCTAGATGCACCCTACCTTGACAGCGCGTACGTCATTCCTTTCAGGAAAAGAAGCGAAGCATGAGAAAACATTCTACGATGCGATGCTAAGAAAATTGTGTCGAAACAAAGAAAGGTAGTATGTACTTTTACGGCGATGTATGATTTCGCTTGTTCACGTGCCTGTTGTGCGAATAACAGTACTCATTGGTATGTGTATGGATGTTGCGGTTGTGCTAAGACAAATAAACTCCAGTTAAGCACAAGTGATTCGTTCTGGGAGGAAACTTTGTCCCGCCGCGTATCGTAGGAGACTGTACTTAACATGACAAGGTGAGCATAAAAGGAAAAGCATAAAAGGACCACATTTTGAGTGCGATTGGCGCAGTCGAGTCAGTTGAGTCGGGCGCAAACTTCTACGGGAAATGCTAACTTCCGTGTACCAAATGGCATTCTCTTTGTAAGCTTTGAAGCATGAAATGCGGCAGTTGGCTTTAATATATAGGCTAAGCAGTAAGTTTCTAACAGCGTCTTACCATGGCCTTAGATGTCGAGCATAATTTTTTGATTTAGTGTTCTCTAGGTCTTTCAATCATTAGCCTCTTTTTGTCTTTTCAACCTCTCCAACTCTTAAACAGTCAGCATTCAGTGTCGAACACGGTTTTGTTCTGTATCGTCAACTTCTCAATGTGCGTTATGTGCAGTAACGACGACTGCAGGCGCCTCAGTACAACACTGAGCTTCGAAAATTATCACCTTTTAGTATGAATCAACTTCGTTAGATTACCTTTATCTTTTCGAAATTAGTCGTAGAAGAGCAAGCTTTTATGTATACTCAATGCTGAAATGAGTATACACGCCACAGCGATTGTTCGGACAGTACAATACCTGAGAGTGAATCAATGCGTCGTTGTGCCTTAACACAGACTTGAATCGAAAATAAGCCTCTGAACTGATGGAGAGTTACTGATACTGAGAAGAGTTACTGATGAAGAGTTACTGATGAAGAGTACTGATGAAGAGTTACTGATGGAAAGTTACTGATGGAGAACTTGTTTGCAACGTTCACGAAAAAAAAATCTAGATATTGTGTCGTCATTTTCCATGTCAATGTGATGTCTCCAACACCGAGTGACCTTACATTTGCTCATACTGGCGACCTCACTTGCAACACACGTTGAATAAATATAAAGTCCCGTAGAATGCACTGTACTGTAGTCACCCTTGTGAACAAACTTATTGTCTCATTGCATTCGTGTTTATTTCTGTAACCTTGCAACTCATACGGGAGCGGACAACCGGGGTGACAGCATAACGACAGCGGGTCCGTTATGCTTGCGTTGGAGAACACATGAACAGTCCTTGACACTGTAGTTCCTCTCTTGATCCAGAAAGGATTGTTACACTAGAACGAATTTCTTA